CTTAAAGGAATAGAATGAAAAAGAGCAGCTCACTACTGTAAGTGAAAAAATAGTTGACACCAGCCCTCCTAGGTGAAGGACACACTGATTTAGTCTGATTAGCCTCTTGTATCAGCATATTCTAAAAGCATAGAAGGTTAACAACTCCATCTGTGAGATCTAGTTTTCTTTTCCTAGAGTAACCAACCTTTTTACATTTCCATAGGAAATAGCATTTATATAAGACAAATGGGAATCTTCAACTGTAATAAAATTTCAAATTCTGCACTTCTTCAAGGGCATTGTGAATTTGAATTCCTTTGTTTCAAGGAGAGAGTTGGCAAGATAAAAAAGGAAAATTAAACTGAAAAATATAAAACTTTTCCTCACCTCTTGGCTCAAGAAAGTTGTAAAATAAGGAAACCCCTAGTGGGAAGGTGCCTGGGAGTCAAGGACTAGAATATTAAAGTCTTAGGTTTGACTTCATAGACTAGGAAGAAACTTTTCTCCAAACTCTTCTGTAACCACTTAAACTCTTTTGTGTAATAGTTCTCATATGTGTGTGTGTGTGTGTGTGTGTGCGTGTATTTTTAGGTCAAATATCTATGTGAGAAAATGAATTATAAGCGTTTTCTTTATTCTCTCCTTGTTAACTTGTGGGACTTCTATTTCAAAATTTACCACCACCTTTAAATATTTTATATAGAGATTGAGCTAAGTGTCTAAGTAAGGGGCTAGAGACACTATGAGGTTAAAAACATTATGGTAAGAATTACAGAAAAGCACTGTAATAATCAGAGTACTGTTATCCTAAGAGTTGATTTCAGAAAAGTTGGTGATATTAATGTCATTATTTAATCATTAGATTTGTAATGAGTATTGTTGGGACATGTTAAATGATGGTTCTATGAAAAATAAATAAACCTAAAGTATCAATTATGAAGGTCTTTTTTTTTTTTTTAATCACAAAGGCATCACAAAGTCTCTTTTGATTTGTGAGTAAGAATCATGTACAGAAAAACTGAGAACTCTGCTGTTTAATCCATCCATCAAACTCAGGAAAATGCCATATTGAAATTAAATCATTTGACTAATGTATTCCTCCACGTCATTTTCGCCAGAGAACCTATCACACCTCATCCAACTATCCACAGATCACTTCTTGTCTATCTGCCCCTATAATCAAAGAAAGATGTCTTTACCTCTGATCCCTTTGACTATCTCTTAGAATAAGATTCTGAGCTATATTACCCATTGAGATGTATTACCCATGCCCATCCACTTGTGAGCTTGTGTTTTAACCTGGTTCATTTTTGTGTTGTTTTTTTTTTTTTAAGATTTATTTATTTAGGCATACTAGAATTGGGGTACAGGCCAGAGGTGCAGGGGTGAGAGGATTCACCAGAGACAGAGAGGGGAAAAGAACAGGCAGACTGACTGAAATACACTGCTAAGGGGAGCAGCGGCCCATGTGAGTAGCTCCCTGGCCGGGGATCGAACTTGTGCTGCAGAAGCTGCGGAAAGTTTCATAGTGCAGTTTTTAACTCCTTGTGCCACCAGGGAGGCCCTGGTTCATTTGTGTTTTGACCTGGTCTACTAATGGATGTAATATTTCAGTGCAACTTTGTGGGACAGATTTACTCCCAGAGGGATATTTTACTTTTGTGAATATGGGTTGGAAAAGAATAAGGTAGGAGGAAAAAAGATCAATTAAATTCCACTACTCCAAGTATCAGGGTAGTCTTTGTGGCCACTACGTTTTCCAGATCCTGCATTCTCTTCTCAACAGAGAAACAAAATACATGGAACTAAATGCTTCTGTCATAGGATTAACTTTTCCTTCTTCTTGATAAACATCTCTGGAGTGGAAATGTGGATTGCCTCACCCTCTGCCCCATGTCATCAGGTCTTAGGATAGGCATGAAATGTTAGCTTTCACTACTGTTCAATTTTCAGATAATGTGAAATTGATGAGTATTAGATGAAAGCATCTGAAATTTTATGTGTATTTCAAAAGAGGGAAAACCTTCTTAGTTCCATGAAAGATGAAGAGAGAATTCCATCAGTTTTTTTGGGGGTAGTATGTGTGATTTGTTTTTTCTCCAGATTTTAAATTTTTATGGAGAACTCACTGGACGTTTTCTGCTTGGTGTTATGGAGGGGATTTAAATCCAGATAATACTAGGAATATTTAAATGCATGCTTAATTGCCAAACGAGAGAGCTCTGTGAGCAATCAAAACAGGACCTGGCAACCATTTCCTTGTGCTGCCTGGATGAATGGAGGCTGATCAAATCACTTCTTCTAGCAACTGACGGTTAAGGCATTTTTGGTATCATCCTCTGTGGTGTTTATTAAAAGATTGGCTATATTTAAGGGGAAACAGCAAGTAGAGGAGGAATTATTAAAGTTCAGAACATAGTACTATATGAGTTATATTTAAAGGCAGATATACTTTGTAAAGAATTGGAAGGTATTTCTGGAACACGGCATCTCTGTTGCTAAATTTTACTGCCTCTTAAGTTCATCTCCTTGCCCTGCATTCTCCTGCGCAGGTGCAACATCGCAGATGTCTGCATGGCTCCAGTATGCCCTGGTTTTCTCCTTACCCCAGCATCTGTCTGCACTAATCCAGTCTGCAATCCCCTACCTAATACATCAATAAAATGCTTTACTGTTTGGTTTTTATGTATACCAGTTATTCAACCCATAAGAACTTATTCAGCTTTCTCTTGACTTGTATTTCAAATATAAACTCCTCAGCCTACTGATGTTTGAGGTCTCTAACTTGATTAGCAGCCATCCTTGACTGTTTTCCATCATCTCCTTCCAAGTCTTTAAATCTGCTTTCCACTCCGTGAAGTAGGCTTACACTTGCCTGCCACTGTACTTTTACTCTTGACATTCTCCATTATCCCATTGCTTGCTCAATTCTTTCTTAAAAAAGTTTGCATTTTCCAGAATTTTTTTTTAATTCCATAGGCACTCTGTATTGATACAAGATTTCTCTTAGAATTGTCAAGATTTTTTTCTAAAATTCTACAATAAATTTATTTAGTGGGGATTTTACTATGCCAGGCACTCTGCTACAAATATTCAGAAATATTTTTTATGTGAGCTTCTTAACAACTCCTTAGGTACCTGTTTCCATTTAGCAGTGTACATATGAGGAGACTGAGGCTTAGAGAGGTTTCTTGGCTTGCCCACACCCATAGGACAAGAGAAAGGCGGAACTGAAAATAAAATACTAATTTCCTTTCCAATCAGTGTTCTTTCCACCCTTTCCAATGTTCTGCACTGTTTGTAGAATTACTATGGTTTTCACTGGTTACTTATTATTCTCTTGAATTTGTTCTATCGTACAAATTCAGATAGACAGGATATTCTTTTTTTTTTTTTAATCTTTTTGCAATGCCTACTACAGGGCTCTGGAAATAGAAAGTATTTAAAGACAGAAGCTGAATGATATTTTACTGACCTCTATTAAATCTACAAGTCATTGCCCTTGTGATACTTTGCACTTATTTCTGGGAGAAGTTTCAGTAAGACTTTCACTGTTTGGCGTGCATGGAAACAAACATCTGGCATGTACCATCAGTGAACATGGCTGGTTATCAAGTCCGGGACCAAAACCAGGTCAGCCAGTTCCTCAGCAATATTCTGCCACCCCTTGAAACTTGGTGCTGTGACCTGACATCATAGGAATGTGCTGTGTATCCATAGGCTCTTTGCAATGCTTCTCTCCTGGCTCTTGGGCAGTTATACCCATTATAGGTGTGTGTGTGTGTGTGTGTGTGTGTTTACCCATTTCATAATATTAAGAAGTTTAGCAATTAGTCATGCTATTAATAAAAGTGTTGTGTAATGTCATTGGAATTGCAGGTACCATGCCAAACCTAATGTCAAGTTCCCTTTGGAAGTGAACACTGATCTTTCCAGCCCCACATGCGTCCGAGTCCTATAGGTTCTTGGTGATTCTGTCTATGTGGACAGTCTGACCCTGAGCTGAGCTGCTACTTAGCTGTTTCTCTGGTTGTGGGCCGTGAGTCAACACATAGAATAGCTATTTAGTATTTCTCTACTCTTCTTGACAACCCTGATTTATTGAAAGGTTCTCCCTGTAAATGATAAGGAAATTGCTACATACTGCTGTCCCCCATTAGAAAATTAGGCAATTAAGATTTTAAGAAAAGATGAGGAAGTCAGTGCAGAATTGAAATCCTGGGTATGAAGCTTCCAATATTTTCCTTCTCCTTTGGGGCAAATGAAACCACCCAGCATCCAGAGAGAGGGATAATCTCTCATTCAGGCAAGCGTGACTTCTGGGCACATCAGACTAAGAGCATAGGACAGCTACCTGCTAATCACGGGGCTTAATAGAGCATCATAGCGGAAAGGCTGAGAATGTAGACTCTGGAGTGAAACACCCTGGGCTAGAGTTGCAGCTCTGCCACTGACTAGCTGTGCCATCCAAGGAAGGTGACAACCTCTCTGTGTTGTTGCTCATCCTTAAATAGAGATTAGAATGAAGATGACCTCACATGGCTGTTACCAGCATTAAATGAGTTAATACGTAAAAGGTATATAGACCGGCATCTGTTACTGAGTAAATGCTATGTAAGTGGTTAAGTTAAAAACCCAAAGAAAAGAAACAAAAAGAAAAGGAAAAAAAAAAAAAAAAACTTCTTTTCAATGCCTTCAACCTTGCAGCACTGATAATCTTCTTGGAAAGAATAGCTTTATCTCTTATCACAACTAGACCCTGTATATACCACATTTGAGAGATACTGAGGTCATAGAACTGAATTAAAACATGAAATATTCCCACCTTAGTCCTCATTACTCAATCTCGAGAGCTATTTTGGGGTCACTAAAGTCTTTTATCCAGTATGTAGAGAAGGAAAAACGAGATCGGGGAATATTCTACAGAGCGAACTAACAAAGGATCACAGGAAAGTGATCCTACTTAGAAATGTGTATTTCAAGTGCGTTGGTTCATTGAACTTTTTCTCCTTTTTCAGCTACTACCACACAATCAAAGCGAAGAGGCCACTTCTCTAGGTGCCCCAAACAATACAAACATTACTGCATCAAAGGGAAATGTCGCTTCGTGGTGGCTGAGCAGACGCCCTCCTGCGTGTAAGTGGAGCCCCCCAAGACAGCAAGTAACGGGGCGCAGCATGGCGCCACCTGGGGTTTGCCAGCACTGGAAAGTCTGAGCTAACCAAGCCATCTGTCGGGACACATTTCTGCCTGGTCCAGCCTCTGGGCATGTGTTTAGGGGCGCTTGGGCAGCTCCTTGTGGAGAAACTGACACACACTTTCCTCCTGAAATATGAGCTTGTGAGAAAGTCCAGATCTGCTTCCAGGCAGGGCCGTGTCTTCTGCTGCCTTACGCAAGCCAAACTGATTCTGTCCAGTGTTAGGGTGCGTTTCAGCTCAAATAATCCACCAGGTGGTTCCAATGGAAACAAATTCTTTTGGCATGTGTTGTGTGGTTTGAAGTTAATGTAAATATGAAGGAATTCCTGCCAAATTAAAAGTTACTTTTTTTTGCAGGTGTCAATTAAGGGCAAGGAAATTGATTCTATTTATAAGAAAAGATTCACAAAGCCTGTTTGCTACAGCAAAGAAAGTGACAAATTCTCTTTCTAACTCATAGAAGATTAAGAGTTCACTTTTAATTTTACTCAGGCACAAACCTTTTTGCATATTTTACTTTCTTTTAAGCAGATGTGTCCCCAAGCCCTTTCCCCGTAGAGGAGCAAGGGGATTTTTAAAATATAATTTTGACCTAAAGTTCATACAATGTTTATGTTAGTCTCTGTGTTTCTCCCAGTATATATTTTTTTCCTTAAGTATGTCTGAGTAGTGGTAACACATTCTATTTAAGTAGATCATTTAAGGGTCATGGACTTCCTCAAAATTCAATTATAATTAAGTTTAGTTTTAAAAATAAAACACATGGGTAGTATTCAGAGAGGAATAGAATTGCTAGTGTAAAGGGATAAGGCAAACGAGCCTAAGCATGTGCTGGGAAATATACAGCTAATTAAAAAAATCATTTAATTGCTCACTGGCTTAGGAAGCTATATTAAGTTTTAAAAATATTGATGCCCTTTAACCTGGCACATTTCCTTACTGATCCCTGTGTGTGCAGACTGTTGTTCTTTAATATTGCTGCCTTCTAAATCACAGGTAGTGTGGAATATAAATCAATACAAGCTTGTCCCTTTCAGTCAGAGGTTAAAATTCATTTCCTTGGTTCCACAGCTCTTCTAATCCTGGCCTAACCCTAAGGCTATATCTCTCACCCTGTTCCCGATGTTCCTCTAGAATTTGATATTCCATTCTTTTTTTTAACTTATTTTTAATTTTTTTTAAATATGCATTCCATTCTATGGGTTATTACACAAGCTCTTCTCACAGTCTGGAAAGTTTATTCTTAGTCATGTTCTAAGGTGCAACTCAAACATCAGCCCTTTCTGGACCCCCACACTGACTTCTCCTGAGACACATGCCGGAGTAGGAGTTAGATAGCCTTCTCTGTCTGCCAGTCACATTCTAGGGATGCTCTTTCCTCCATAGCTGAACTGCCTGTTTCTTTGTGTGACTGTGAGCTACTAAGGGCAGGGGCCACGGTTTTTTATTTTGTGTGTTCTAGAACCAAGTATGTGCCTGGAATTTATTAAGTGCTCAAGAAATGCTGGAGAAATAACTGAATAAGTCCTCCTGTCGTGGTCCATCCAAGGCTATGTTAATGCCAGAACCCAGGCCTTAATATGAAATAGGAACATCTAACTGGGAGTGACACAGAATGAATGGGACGTAGAAAAGCATGGGAGACAGGACAGAGATTTGGGAGTCCAACAGACATTTGTTAAAATTTTATTTCCACCCATTATAAGCAGTGCTAGCAATGGCTCATTTACCTCTCCTGAGTCTTAATTTTATCATCTATAAAGAGGGAAAGTACTGTCTTTCTCTGACGTGTTGGAAACTAATATCTCATGATATTCAACACAGAGCAAATTTTCCATATGATGTACCATTGAGATGAGTGGGAGATGTTTAACCAATGCCTGGCGTTGTAAGTACTTAATGTAGCAGAAATTCAGACAAAACTGTCATGTCATTGGTGACTACTCATCTTAGGAAACCAGAAGTAAATCTTTTTGCTGGCGATCACAGAAGATTGTGGATTCCTGTTTTTTATGTAAAGAAAACAAAAAGTATATTGCAAATAACTCAAATTTTCTGGTAGTCTTGTTAATATTTTCTTGGAATGGAGACTGTATCCAGATATATCATTTTTATTTATTTATACAACACAATTTGTTAAGCAGTGTTATTCTGATCCAGGGCATGAACTTAATTAGTCATTCTCCTGTTTTTAAATTGCAGTCCAATTCACTTAACTTTTCTATACCTCAGTTCTCCATCTATAAAATGGGATCTATAATCGTGCTTACCTCTAAAGTTGTTATAAGGATCAGTTGGGTTAATACTTATAAATCTCTTATAAGAGTGTCTGGTAATTATTTCAGTTGGTGATCTCAGTTCCTGACTTTGCAGAGTCCTCAGGGACAAGAAATTCTTAAAAATTCTTTAAAATAAAAGATGTTTTAAATTTGTTTGATAGATAAAAGCTCACTCATTCAGCTTTTAATAAATATGTATGAGGATCTTTCAGCCTTGCCTCATGCTCTCCCATAACAGATACACATACAGATTAAAAATGATGACCAGATGGCATGTTATTTGTTTGATGAGAAGTAAAATATCACGGGAGTATTACAAGTAACTGTGTGAAGGCTTCATCTTCTAGTATGGCTCCACTGCGTTATAACTGGCAAGAAGTACTATTTAGTAGGGTCTTCCTAGTGGTGCAGGGGTTAAAGTCTCAGCACTATTATATATCACCATTCACTACAGCATGAGTTCAATCCTGGCCAGGGAGCTATCCACATGGCACGGCAGACCTCTCCTGTCTCACCTGCTGCTCCCCTCCACAGTGTGTTTCAGTAGATCTGCCTGTTCTGCTCCCCACTCTGTCTCTGGTGAGACACCAGAGACACCTCTGGCCTACATGCCAGCTCTTGTATGCATAAATAAATAAAAATAAATTAAAAAAAGAAAAAATTTAATGAAAATTTCAGTTAAAGCAGGGCTAAGGAATGCAACCAGAGTTTAAAATTAGAAAAGCATTCTAAAAGAGCAGCAAGTAATTGCTGTCTATTTTATGGGAAAAAAGCTATTGTTTAAAAATGTCATATTTAATAAATTTGTTAGAGAAACATTTAAGCTAATTGGAAGAAGCTGTATTTGTAAGGTATTATGACCCTATTGGGGTCAGAATGGGGGGCGGCAATTGTATGGGGAATATAACAATAAAATTTATAAAAAAAAAAAAAATCTCCACACATGCAATTTTAAAAGTGATATTTCCCTCCCAGTTCCTGTTCTATGTGCAACATATTCCTGATACTTTGAGATATTTATTCATTTTATTGTGAAGATCCCTGGGTACCTGGCAGTAAATAATGTTCCCTCTTCATCTGGGTTCTTTTGCTAGATGTTATTAGGCATCTTTGCTTTCATTGAGCCTCACCTTTTAATTGATGGTTGTGGCTGAGTTTTTCTTATCTTTTGAAGTGTTATAATAGCTACATTTATGGTATTACAAGATCTCCTTTCTTGAGAAATACAGACTTGGTGGCAGTTAACTGACTTGGCTCTTACCAAACATAAATGGCCTGGTAATAAAAAAGAAAACACCAACAATAACAAATATGAGATTGCACAGAAATCTTTTCCAGAAGCATAATTTCATCTTTTTGAGATTTCAATAAAAATGTATATGACCAGCACCTCTCTGTGTTTTGAGTGAGTCTAAGAAGAAAAAACATGCATTAGCATGTTTGCTAATGCAAAGGTACTGATATTACACCATATAATTTTGGTTTTAAAATGTCCTGAGACCTGCTATATTTACCATTTAAGCATCTGATATAATTCAGGAAATATTACCTATGGTCTCCAAATCACTGAGCCTTCAGGTCCTTGAGTGTCAATCAGGCAAGTCTTGACTTGATCAAATGTTTCTATAACTGTAACCTCAAACCTGGGGCATCTGCTCAGTGGAGGTGAATCCTAAGTTTGTATTGATGGACAGTTGAGAGAATGAAGGAAGTGATGACCTGTTGATTTCTGGTCACTGTACTTTAAGAAGGTCATTTTGAGGAGAGTGGCGGGAATGGAATGAAAATGTGGACTTGGAGGATCAGGTGAAGGAAACAGCGGATACAATGTACTATTTTAATTTAAGAAGATGTGGTTAGGGTGACAATCAGAGCAATGGAAGAAAGAGCATTACCTAGTCTGTGACCTCTGTCAGCAGTATGGCTCTTAGAACTTATGGGTGTTAGTTACAAAGAAACAAAGAGAAGGGGGTGAGAGAGAGGAAAAAATATGAATTAATCACATAGAATAAAGGCCTTTATGGAGTTTTTTACATTTGGACACAAGTCTACGAGCTTTCACATACATTACTGTTTTGATCATATAAAACAGTATATATATTTATAAAACTTTTTAGATTTATAATAACAGAGCATAGGCACTTTGAGACTGTTTATATTGCCCTATGATGAAGTGAGAAATCCTGGGGAGTTTTAAAGTTCTTCTCGTGGAAGTATTTAAACATTTGGGAGTGCTGTGAAAGATAACTTATTATCCCCTCCTTTTCACACCCAGAATCTAAAATTTCAAAATAAATTTTAGTAAATTGCTATCATCTCTGCTTATTTATATGAGACATATTTTTAATAATGTTCAAGTGATGACAGATTTTCAGCAAAGATAGTGAAGTTATTCATGCACAGTAGCATACAGTTTTTATTTTTCTTTGAAGAAATTGTGTCCTTTATTAATTCCAAGAAATGAAGTCTCAATTTCTTAAAAAATATTAGATTCCTAAAATTATTGTTTATTTTACATTGTTTTATTTTTCTTCTTGTTTTATTTTTCTAGCTGTGATGAAGGCTATGCTGGGGCAAGATGTGAGAGAGTTGACTTGTTTTATCTAAGAGAAGATAGAGGGCAGGTTTTGGTGATTTGTTTGATAGCAGTTATGGTAATTTTTATCATCTTGGTGGTCGGTGCCTGCATATGCTGTCAGTAAGTATTTTGAAATTAATTTTAAGTAAATCTGAGTAATCGTATTTGGCTCATTCCCCCCCCCCTTCTTTCCCTTCTCCCTACCTTTTCTCTTTCCTTTTTGCTTAGAGAATAAACCACATGATCAAGGTTTGTCATCATTTATATGAAGTTTTTATTTGTAATAAAACTCTCCTCATCCCCCTCCATTCCTTTTTGAGAACCACCATTCTGTGGTCAAAGTCTAAGGGTTGGTTTTTTTCTTATATATTCCACAAATGGGTGAAAGCATGTGGCATTTGTCTTTTTCCTTATGACTTCATTCACTTAGCATAATTCCCTCAAGTTCCATCAATGTTAATTGCAAATTGAAGATTTCATCTTTATTTTTATGGCTGAATAGATTACTATATTTTTTATGGCTGAATATTAATCTATTCAGTTATATCTGCTATATATACATATAACATCTGTAGCCACTTATCCATTGTTGGGCACTTGGTTTGATTCCAGATTTGGGGGATTGTGAATAGTGCTACATTGAACATAAGAGAACACATGTTTTTTCAAATTAGTTTTTTCATATCCTTTAGATAACTACCTAGAAGAGGGATTACTGGATCATATGGTAATTCTATTCTTTTTTTGTAACCTCCTTACTGTTTTCCATAGTGGTTACACCAATATACATTCCTACCAACAGTGCACGAGGGTCCCTTTTTCTCCACATCCTTGCCAACAGTTGTTATTTCTTGATTTTATGGTCACAGTCATTCTAACTGGTGTGAGGTGAACTCTAATTGTGGTTTTGATTTTTATTTTCCTAATGATCAGCAAGGTAGATCATCTTTTCATGTGTCTTTTGGCTATCTGCACATCTTCTCTGGTGAACTGTCTATCCTTGGGTGAAATATCCATTTTTTAACTGAGTTATATGTTTTTCTATTGTTGAATTGTATGAGTTGTTTGTATATTTTGGATTTTAACCATTTGTCTAATATATTATTCACAAATATATTCTCCCATTAGGTATGTTGCCTTTTCATTTTAATGATTTCTTTCACTATGCAGAAGCTTTTTAGTTTAATATATTTACATTTGTTTGTATTCTTCTAAGACAGTCATTTAAAAATTTTTCATTACAAGAAAAATATTATGTAACTGGGTGTGATGATGTATATAAACTAAGTGTATTGTAGTAACCATTCCACAGTATATACATATATCAAATCACAATGTTGTATATCTAAGACTAATACAATGTGATGTCAATTATACCTCAGTAAGATGAGGCCAATTCTTTAGTCTTAAAGTCTTATGTGAGCTAGCAAATAGACAAGGCTTTGACTTTCTTAAACTGTCACAATAACTTTTAAAGATAGAAACAAACGAAAACATTTTTTTTCTTGGCCACATTAAAATAATAAATTTTATCTACAAAAGATGATTACACTATTTTTTCTGTCTTTACTTTTCATTATATAACCAACAATGACTTTGGTAATTAAGAAGACCTTTGCTTTTATTCTGAAATAGAGTAGCTTGCTACAACTCTTAGGTTAGTTTCTTTTGGAAACCCACTATGTTTTTTATCAGACAAGGACTCCCACAGAGAGTACTAAAACTGTATTTTCTTAAAAGGCAGCATCTTGTTTTGAAACAAGTTTTACCTATTACATTTACTTTGCCCATTGTACACACTGGAGGGAGGGGCTGTGATTCCTTCTTCTCAGTGTTGCTGCGAGAACAGCATCTGCAGAGTCACCTGGGATCTAGAGTCTTTGACTTTTGTATCATTAAATTTCTTTGAGATCTTGGAAAAATTTCTTAACATCATTAAACTTTAATTTGATTTTCTCTGAAATAAACCATGTAATCTATAGTCATGTAAAACTTCTGTGATAACATTGATTTATTGTTTCCCTTTGTTTATGAAAAAGGAGATTTTACAATGCCAAGATTGGGGCACAGCTGAAAAATGTTAATTTCTTCACACCAATTTTATTACATTATTTTTGAACAATAGTTTAAGAAAACTGGATTGCAGTCCAGAATACCTAACACATGTATTCACTGATGCATCTAAAAGCTTAATTGACATATCTAAAGACTCCCTTCACTCTCTTGATTTTCTAATGTCTATTTTCCATGTAAACTTTCTCTCATTTCATATTACATAATGTGTATCAGGCTATTTCGTAAAATAACTTGGCCTGAGAAAATTCGTTTGTGCTAGCCAAGCTCCATCAACAACAGATATCGTTTATTACTATTTAGAAATTATACCCTGTCCACACTACTGCCTATAGAGCTATCATTTGAGACTAGAGAGAGATGGGGTAAGTGAGACTCTAAAATATTTAAGGAAAAAGGGAACCTGTGTATTTTGGTGTAGAGATGAAGTCATAGGCCCTCTTAATGATTCATTTTGTATTCACGTGAACTAACAGGCTCATTTTGATACTTTATTTTCTAAGTCCTCTTAGGAAACGTCGTAAAAGGAGGAAGAAAGAAGAAGAAATGGAAACTCTGGGTAAAGATATAACTCCTATAAATGAAGATATTCAAGAGACTAGTATTGTTTAATGGTAAGTGTGATAAACTTGGTGGATGAAAAACTATTCTGGTGACATTTATTTGGTGAAATGGGGCTTAACTGAATCTAGTAAACCATTGATTGGACTTGATTATGTTTTAAAAGTCTAAAAATTGACATTTTCCCATAGAATCTGAAACCAAATATAATAAATTCTATCTTTGCATGTTGACCACAGAGAAAGGCATTTAGGAGAGAGGACTTTGTATACTTTTTCTAATATACTGGGATCAGTCTGCTTTCTAATTCCACATGGTGGTGGTGTTTATTTTACATTTCCTGCCTCATTTGGGGGCATAAGAGAGAACTATTTTTGTTTAGACACCTTATATTGAAAGGTAAAAACAATAGCAATGTTTTAATAATGACCACATTTATTGAGCATTTACCATACGCCAAGCACTGTTCTGTGCTCTTTAAATGTTGTATTAGTTAGGATCATAGCAAGACTCACAGATCTTCTCAGAAGATGAAATGACAAGATTTTGATGAAGAGGCTGGGAGAACAGGGTTGAGGGAATCCTCAGAAACGTGAGGCTTTTGGAGTCTAGCTGTGGCAAGAGGCATTTGCTTCCAAAGCCTGGAGGAAGTGTTACCGTGTCTGAGACACTCATCTACCCCCCCCTCAGGGGCTATAATTGCAGACAGATATAGCTGCCTGGAATCTAAGCAAGGAAGGAGGTGAGGACTGGAGATAAATAGCCCTGGCTTTCCTCCTGCCTCCAGACCTTCAGCCAAGTTCAAACCAGAACCTGAACCTGGGGGTCAGAGAGCCTATGTGATGCAATCTGTAGCATCAGTCCCCAGCAGCACGCACAGAACAGGGTAGAGGACAGCCTCCGGAGTATAACTAGCATAATCAGCCCAGGAACTTTGGCCTATCACAGCATCTAACCCATCAAGCTTGTTTAAGATGATGAAAATGTGTTGGCTCACATGAGCTGGCAGTTAGAAAGAAAGGTCATCTTCATATGTAGTTGAACCAGGGGCACCAACTCAGGGAAACACTTTTTCAAGCTTTTTTTTTTTTTTTTTTTCTTTTGCTGCTCACTGTTTGAAGAGTTGACTTCATCGTTGGCTAGGACATCTTAAGTCATAACAGATGCCAGCAGCAATTGGAGCCGCTTGCTTCCTTGTTTACGTCCAGCAAGAGAGAGCTGTGGCTTTCCTAGCTCTTTCAGCAGTAACAAAGAATCTTCTTTCTCAGAAACTCCCAGCAGATTAATGGGGTATCAAGGAATTACAGTATTCTCTTAACAATACAAGGATTACTCTAAGGAATTGAAAGCAGAATACAGGCTCTCCAGATTTTTTCTTAGTTGTATGTTACATTCCTTTTCAATGGTATGTTCTTTTTTTCTCTCTCTCTTTTTCATTTTAATTCCTATAGGCTATGAAGGTACCTCCAGGCTGGCTTGCTCATTTGAAAATGGATGGACTGTGTCTCAGGAAAACTGCTAGCTGAAATGAATTTCAAATAATGTATTTACTTTTTGCTTGTAAAGTTTGTGTTGTTTACTATTGTTTTTATAATAATAATACATAATTTTATTATTTTTGAGTAATTGGGAAAAATCACCCAATTAAGAAGGGGAATTATAGTAAATTCCCAAATTAAGTTTTGTGACCAGGATTACTAGTCAAACAAAAAAAAGAAAAAGAGGAAGGAGTTTAGAGTTTGGGAACTGAATTAATAATAAACATTTATTGAACACATAACATGTGCTAAGAGTTTGAAATATATTATTTCATTTAATCCTTGCAAGAGCCTGTGAAATACATATTATGATTTTCATTTTCCATGTATGAAAACAGGCCCAAAGAATTTAAATAATCTACCCCAGATTTATAATTAGGAAAGGTAGAGTTGGAACCAAGATTTACCCAAGTTCAGAGTCTATCCTTTTGGCCATCATCTCTGTTAATTTTATAACCCAGAATTTCATACTGAGCTACATTTTACCATGAATGAGATTTTCTGGTCATTTTCTGCAGAAACTCAGGATGCAGTCTTGGCCTGTCTTCCTTTGCCTTCATGCTTTCCATAGCATTGGCTTTTATCATGTTTTGTTTTGTTTTGTTTTGTTTTTTGCTCCTGTATAAATTCTCAGTGACATGAATAAATTCTTACATTTTCAAAGCAAACAAATTTATCCCATAGCTAGGGTAATGGATAAAAATGGAAAGTAAATGCCTGTCAATCTTCAAGTCCAGGTAAGTGTTAATGCTCATGAACACATAAATTATAGCACCAGAAGAAGCTGTTTATTCCAAGGTAATGACTAGTGAGAGGATACTAGAGTGCAGGCAGAGCCAGATTGTGGTCATATTTCTTCAATTTGTTCTAAGAAAACTATCTGTAATAGCTCTCAGGTAAATTTAGTGTAATGAAATCATGACTATAGTCATTTATTGCTTGCAGCCATCTTGCCAAATGCTCTTTCATCTCCATATATATTTAATAAACACTTTAAAATCTGAAAAAGCAAAATCTACATATGGCCAATATTCCACAGACTATAGTCTTTTTTCGTTGACTGGGTAGATCATTTACAAACACCAATGGAAGGTGTCTCTGTGTTGTTGTATGTTGGTTTTATTGCTGATCAATCAAGCAGTTTCTTTTCTGGGATCTGTAAATTTTATGTACAGTGTAGACACCATACACAATGTGTAGCAGGGAATTCAAAAGAAAGGTAGATTGTACCTTCTATCACACAGGATGTTGAGAATGAGACAGTGTCTATGCTTACATATAACACAGAAAGAGCTCCCATGTCAAGAGCTAACTCAAACAACTGATCATTTTCTAAATCGATATCGTCTCCTGTTAATGACCATCCTTGAAACAGGATCATTCCAACAGATTTATGTTGTAGATGCTCTATTTTTAAGTTTCTGGGTTCACATATGCCCTTTCTTTTTCTCAGTCTTCCTTGCTTCTATGATGGCTTTACAAATGCTTGTTAGAGCATTTAAAAACAAATAAATCCTCAATACTGTAAATATTCCTGAACCAAATTTGGCCAACCAATGGACTCTCTCAAGTCAATTCATGCTTGAAGATTTTGTTCTAATACTAAAATGCTAATGGTATCTCTTGAAATTTAATAGATCTGGTTTAAAGAAAAAAAAACTGAGGTTGGGCCTCCCCGGTGGCACAGCGGTTGAGCGCTGGGCTGCGAAGCTGCCCGCGGCCTCTGCGGCGCCAGTTCGATCCCCAGCTGCTCCCAGGCCACCGGAGGAGGGTCCCACATGGCGCGCAGACCTCTCCTGCTGCCCGCTGCTCCCCTCAGCAGTGTACTTCAGTCCTTCTGCCTGCTCTGCTCCCTACTCTGGCCTTGTGAATTCTCTCACCCTCCCGCGCTTCTGACTGTACCCAGTGCATGTATAAACAAACAAATAATAAATAAATAAATAAATAAACATGCCTCTATAAAAAAAAAAAACCTGAGGTTAAAACTTTTTAAAATGTATTTTATAATTGTTTTACACATACTAAATAACCTTGTTTATATAAACTGTCAATATTACCATGTAATAAAATAAATTTATTTTTAAAACAAAATAAAAATGTGTTTACTTGGGAATTTTCTATTGGTACCGTGAGTTATTAATAGAAATATATTTGATTATTATTGCTTTAAAAACCTTATATTTTATAGAGTCTACTATTAGTAATTATGAAATCATTCATTCAGATGTTATTTTTTCCTTACAAACTGAAAAATTTGGCAGTGTGATACACCTATGGGATTATCTGGCTAAAATCTGGTTATACTTTTAAACCCTACCTCCAGCTGCACTTGGGTGAGCACTTAATAAAATTGGACAAATCCCAGGGGAATGGGGAACATAAAGTGAAGTTAATCTCTTTGACCTCTTAGGATATAAAATGTGCATTTTGAAACAATTAGAAATCAAGTTTTGCTCCATGTGAACCAGAAAAAAAAATGGAAGCTTCTCAGAAAAGAACACAGATAAATTGTGAGATTCTTGGCAGTCTAAGTTCCCATTAGGTACATTCCCAAAGTCTAGCCTCATGTCATTCTTGTCCTCTGGCTCCCAGAGACATGTTAGTATCTTTATAATTAATTTATCATTTGCCTTAAACTACTTGTATTTTGGGTCTCTGAAACCTAGACCTAAGATCCTAACCAAGTCTGGTGCATCATGAGATTGTGGACAATTTCTCAAAGGGGGATTGGCATTATCTGTGAACCAATATGAATTTATGGTTTTCAAATAGTGTCCTCGATTGTGTTTGAGGAACATTTCTAGCAACAATTTTGTTTTCATTACACAGACATTTCCTTACACAGCATTGAAGAGGAGCAATCAGAGGAGCCAACAGGTATTGTTTAGGCACCTTCTGTATTCTAAGCACTGTGCTACCCACTCTGATGAATCCTAAGGAGGAGTAAAACATGGTCACTCAAGGAACTTTCAGTTTAGAGGGAGAAACAGCTATTTACTGCTGATTTCGACATAACTTGGTGTTCTGAGAGTCAAACTTAACTACCTAAGAAGGAATTGTAGACATTCTTGAAGGAAATTACATCTGCACTGATGACTGGTTCTGAGGAAGTACAGCTATTTCTTGGGCCCTTGTCAAATTCTGAACGATTTCTTGAAAATCTCTGCAGTGGAGAACCCTGAAGGAGTTGCTACAAGGGAATAAGAGAAGGCACGGAATCAATGATTCATGTTTTGTTGAGACTGTCCCAACACTATAGAATAGTGAGGTGAGGAGAGGTGTTTCTGATTCCAGTGATGTTATATTATTAAGTGATGGACTGAGATGGGGAGTAGTACTTGATTTCTTTTCTGAAATTGATTACTTGGGCCGTTCAGAGTTTTCAATCTATGTCTTAATGTTGCAGGCAAGTTACATAGAGAGCAGAGTAAAATAATTTGTTGTTTGGATAAATCCCTTGTTTGTGTAAAATTTTCTAGACAAAGTCCAGGGCATATTTGAGTGCTTATAACTGAAAGTGCTTATAACTGTAAGCTTTCATCTTAAGGAGACCTCCATTTTAGTATAACCTGCATGTATTTTGAGATCTTAAACATATTAGAATATTATCATTCATTCATTCAAAAATATTAAGTAGCTATCAACTGCCAAGTATCTTAGGTGATAAGATATATCAGTGAACAAAATGGTTAAGGAAAAATTATGAGCTTATATTATGGAGCTTATATTTTAGTAGATATATGAGCTTATATTATGGAGCTTATATTTTAGTAGATATAAGCTTTTATGACCTGGAATATATAGCAAAGCATAACCAAGAAATTATACTGTCCAGAGGACATTGCCATTAGAATTATAGCTGATACCACAGTTCTGGAGAATGAAAGTCATGATGAGCATTCACAGAACTCAATTCATGATAGGATTAACAGGTTTCCCTTGACCTTGACATTATTTACATATTTTAATAATGACTATCAAGAATAAAAAATGTATAGCTATGTTTCTTTGCTGTAAATTTCTTGATTTATACATTATTTTTGCAATGGTTGATGTATATGAGTGCTACATTAGGGTACCTGCTTTTCTTCAAGGAATCCTCAATGCTTCAAAGCATTTTTCTGCAAGGAACCTCTTCCCACATGATCGCCTTTGGCAGCTGAACATTAATGCCAGAACATAACGTGCAAATAGACTATTCTTGCCTGTTTGCTAATGTTACTGGATCCTGGAATGTGTATCTTACAATAACATCTAGTTGGCAATGCTATGAACTCATTCTACCTTGGGTCTTGTTGGCTCTTGGTGTTGAGAGTAGTCTGAAATTCTATATTAGGCAATTAAACTACATACTTCCAAAAACTCTAACACTTATTGTAAAAGATAAATTATTAGGGATGTCTCTGCTATTTGAAATAGCAGATATTGAGGTATGCTTAATCAACACTTATAGTCAATGTTTGTCTTATAAAATAAATGTTAATGAAGCACACATTTTAAAATATATTTTTTCTCTGCTTTATTATTCTTGCTTATATAAGTTACAAAAATAATAAATAAATGTGCTGCAGATGTACTTGAAGAGGTGCTTTCTCCTTTGATTTGTTTTAAAAAAATCAAATAAACATTTTTCAAAACACAGAACCTCTTAATGTTGCTTGCTATGGCAAATGTAATTATTCTTGTAAGTCATGTGCAGAATATTAAAATATTTTGAGAATCTATGAGCCACGCTAGATATTTGCTATTTTCTGGGTTGTAGTAGGACGTGCAAGAGAATATTTACCTGGCATGCTCTCTAAAACCATTTTTGGAATACTGGGATGTGTAAACTGATTTTAATAAACCTGTTTCTAACATTATTTTTAACACCACAGGAACATTTGTTTACACAATGAACCAGAAGTAGCAATTCTAAAATAGTCATTTAGCCAGTGCTTTTGTTTGTTTGCTTGGTTTTGTTTGTTTAACTCCTAGAGTAAAGGTGACAGTCTGGGTACTGCTCCCCCACCTCTCTGCATCCTAACTCCAACTGCCTTTCAAATATCTGAACTCTTAACAAGACCTGAGCTTCTGATCATTTTACAAAAGGCAGAGGGGTGGGGGAAACTTACTTCTGAAGCATTGCAGTGCAAAGGCTATTAGTGTGGGGTCTGTATTCAGAGGTCTCTGGACTTCAGTCTCAGGTCTGTCACTTTCTGAAGGTTCTGGGCTAATTTCTTTCTTTTTTTTTTTTTTGATATATGTTTTAATTTCTTTTCTTTTTTTGGGGGGCGCTAATTTCTTAACCTTGTAGTTCCCATAGTGAGGTGAAAGCAGATAATACATAGGGTGAGCTGAGAGGGTTAGATGAGATGTCTGTAAAACTCTTAGGGCAGCATTTGGAATATTTGAAACATTTTTTTACATGAAGATTCAATTATTGTTATTATTATTAATATCTGTAGTAAGTGATGATGATGAGGGTTATCATCATAGAAACCAAGGAATTCTTTCATGAAGCTGAGTTCTCTGTATTTTTAAGGATTCATGATCTTTATGGAAAGGAATGCCTCTCAATTCTTGTTGGAATAAAACATGTTTAGGTAAAGAATTCCAACTCAGTAAATAACCCTATGAAGTTGCCACATTTCTCTCCCTTTATTCTTTCTATCTTTCCTAATTCTTTTTGGAGAAATTAAGAAACAGTTACAATGAGAAAATTAAGGCAAAATAATTGCAATGTTAATGAAAAATAATTAGAGTTCTAATAATTTTTATATTATGCTGAGATAGGTTGTCTGTTTCTGGAGTTGGGCTTTATTACTTGTACACTCAATATCACTGGAAATGTTGAAATTAGCTTGGGCAAATGACTAGAAATAACCTCTCAGATGTAATTTGCAATGTGCCTGCGCAGTAAGAGTTATTATATTGTTTACTACATGACAAACCTAAGGCTCAGAAAACTTTAGTGCTCTGCCAGTGACACTACTGGTAAGTCATTGTCTTTTGCCTCTGCACTTTGGTATTTCAAACTTTGAAAGTCCATTAAAAAAGTCTTTCCAAATGGAAAGAAACAAAATTGTGTTGGCCTGGACCTGCCAATTAGTTAAATAAATGATTAATGTGACTATATGCTCGACAAATCCTTGAGTATTTTAAAAAGTGAAAAACTGGACAGAAATAAAATGAGGATTCTGTAATAACCAACTGATGGTTTTTTTGTTTGCTTTTAAATTCAACCTTTCAGGGGCTTCCCTGGTGGCACAAGGGGTTAAGCACCGCACGGTGGAGCAATCCACAGCCTCTGCAGCGTGAGTTCGATCCCTTGCTGGCCAGGGAGCAGCCCACCTGGCACAGTAGACCGCTCCTGTCTCGCCCGCTGCTCCCCTCAGCAGTGTGTTTCAGTCAGTCTGCCTGTTCTGTTCCCCACTCTGTCTGTGGTGAATCCTCTCACCACCCCCTATCCCCCCTCCCTCCACACCTCTCTGTACCCCAGCTCTTGTATGCATAAATAAATAAATCTTTTTAAAAAATAAAATAAATGTCATTCTCTCCAAAATACATGACACAGAGTAAGGGACTAATACACTTGAAGTAAGCATTTAAATAAATAAATAAATAAA